CCATTTGAGTCATATCAAGCATAATGATTGCAATAAACCATGGAGTATATAACCAGAAATAGAGACGAAATAAGGGCCATCCATCTCTGGCAACTCATCGGGCAAAATGGGACTTATATCACTTTTAAAAATTAACTCTCGTTTGCGCTGAAATCACAAATTAGAAAGCTGAAATAGTACAGCGCCAACAACTGACCTGTGTGTACATCTCCGTATATTAATAAAGACAATATCTCTAACAACGGGGGGCTGTTCCATTCGGTGGTGTGGAAAAAACAACAAAACATCTAATTACAAAACAAACGGAATCACATTTCATCGGTAATTAAATATGAAACATGTAATTTTTCAGTTTTCATCCATTATAGCAAAGCTCAAGTTAACTGGTCGATTTGAAGTGAAACAATTGACGACACCAGTCAATTGTTTCGGATTCTGGCTGGCCAATCGGAGCGCAGTTGTCACCGTAATGATTAGGCAGCATAGTGTTCAAACAAATTAAATGACATTTTGTCTCTATTTCTGGTTATATACTCAATGCAATAAACACAACGATTGCAAAAATTATTTCAAGTAAAGAATTTAACAAGAATGAAAGAATTTTCTACTATTTTTCTCTAATGTAATATAAAAATTACTTCCAATTTGCTTTCTTCGGCCAAAAACAGGTCACGGAAAGTTCGAGAAAACAAGATTGCGGCTGAGAATTAAATGAAAAATGCACATAGAACGTTCCTGTTCAATTATTTACAGCTTTACGGCGTCTGTGGGCAAGACGTGCCAAGTTTCTTTTTTACTTTATTTGAGATACGATCTGTATTACATCTATATATGTAATAGATATGGGATCGCGAGGACACGTGTAAAGCCTAAATCACGAATTGAGCTAAAGCACCTATATAATGACGGCCTAAAAACCTCTCATTGTGGAACTCCGTTTCCTGCGTAGGTTTTCAGTAATACTAAAAGTTCTTTTTAATACTTCAGGCGGTGGTGGTTATGGGTGCGTGAAAGGAGCCTACCCGCATGACGAACCATTCTTTTCCTGTACGTCTGGCACATCCTGGGATACAATCGGCGAGTACATTACCACGATGGCAAGCATAACAGTGTATGCCATTGATACGATAAGAAAAAGAAGGTCAGTTTCAGTAAGGTTTCAGGTCTTTTCCAGAACCAGATTCGTTACTGGGACAGACGGAATTGGTCCCTCGGACATGGAATGCCCTGAGCAAGAACAACATGTATCGCCTAAGGCTTGTCAAAAATTTTCGTACGTGCGTTTTGTAACGAAGAATCACAAAAATGTAAGGAAAACTGTTAGTGCACAATGCACATACATTAACATACACCTATGAAGGTACCGTAAACAGTTCCTAATACGTCAAGAAATGATAAAACTCCATAAGGACACCAACAGGGCTATCAGACAAGTCAAAGATCAGGAAACTTGAGATACATATATGTACATACATTTAGTAGCAGCTCCTTGTGAAAGAGTTCGTCCAGGGAAGCAATGTGAGGATTACTGCGTTCCGGTTTTGAAGGGTGCCTAAGGGTGCTGGTGAAATTACAGGCACATGGGACTTTTCAACTTATGTCTCAGGGTGATGGGTGCAGAGGCAGAGCACCTCAGATCTTGGCGAGTTAAAGCTCTGAGTGGCACTGCAACAGTTATGGACAGGCGTGTAACTTACCATAAGGTGCACGACTTGTCCGTTCCATTACTATCACAAAAAAAATACATACAAAATGAGTGAGGAATTTATTATGTAATTGTGAAAATCTACACTATAAATCATACATTAAGAACTGAAGATATAAACTTTATTTGCTTAATTGTTATTGTATGAGTATGTAAGTTACCATGTTTTTGTTAGTGCATTGATGTAATTAAGTTGGTTTTTAACTTAAATTAATCTGAACTCCTCCGCCGCGGATAAAGCCGAAAGGACTTTTTGAGCGATTTTTGTAATTATAGTTCCGGCACGCCATTATGGCCGTTTTGAGATTGTAATTTACAATAGTGAGGTCAAATCTCAATTCATTATCGAAAAAAATATAATCAAATGCGAATCGTATCTATTAGTTTTTAGATACCCTTATAAATAGTACTGCAAGGGGTTGCTGATTAAAAAATTTTGATAAAACGAAAATACAAATGCTTACTTAATATATCGTCAATTCGAAACTGCTTTGTTTCGCATTGAGCATTGACGCGAGTTTGCCGGAGGTAAAAGTTGTGCTGGCCAGCGATCCCAGAAGTGACGATCGTATTTGATTTCATTTTTTTAAATTACGAATTTCAAACAACAAATGCCGAGTTGTGTCGTAAAATTATACCTTCCATAAATCTTACTGCACGTCGCTGTTGACAACAATGTACAGCAATGAGCTCCTTCAACATAGTTGTGAATTAATACGAAACTCGATGATCGGACAAATGTCAAAATGGACATCATAGCGTGCCGGTACTATAGTAAATAAGTTTTTTTTTTCTGTATTTTAATCAATGAAATAAAAAATACAGGCCATAAGTGTAGGGATCTTAGCAATACTTGGCCCATCGACATGGGAAACTTGATCTAATTCTGCAACCAGACAGTCTGCAGTCTGTCTAATTCCTCAAGTACTTTCAACAGAACTATCGTCTTTGGGCTGATTGAATTGGTGCTGACGAGTACTTGGCTCACAGATGGTGACCAGCTTCTGATGATGGAATAGGAGGGTGGACACTGGAACTAAGCTTCACTAGAGACCCACCAAGTTTGTAGTAATTGAATTAGTCAATATAATATTCTTTTACGATACTAAGTGTAGAGACGAACAAATCATACGTCTGATGGTAAATACACGCCTGTCCATAACAGTTGCAGTGCCACTCAGAGTTTTAAATCGCAAAGACCTGGGGGGCACTGCCACTGCGCCTATCACCCTGAGACATAAGTTGAAACACAGCACCCTTACCCTTCCAAACCGAAACGCTGTAATGCTCACATTACTGCTTGGGGGCAGAAATAGGTAAGGTGGCAGTATTTCCCTGGACGAACTCTTTCACAAGGAGCTACAGAATAGAGTACTGGAGTTGGCTGATTTGTATCGAGTTTTTTTTAAGCAAACACGAACCTCAATGCCATCTATAAAGTATTGCAATAGTACTATGGTAATTAACGGTCGTAGATGCCATTTCCATTGATATTATTATGTTTAATAATTATCCCTTCATTATAAAAAAAAGCGACTTCAAAAGTTTTTTGAAATTACATCTATTTGCCAAGTTTAATTGAAAACGTTTAACGGAAAGTGGTTCAAATCCAATAAACTTGAAAAATTATTAACTAACTTTGTGACTGAAGCTTTTCAATTTCATGGATACTTAATATTCCATAACTTCTTTTTTAAAAAAGAAACCGACCTCAAAAACCTGGCTTATGATATGGCGCCTCAATGGCTTATCCGCTTTCACTGTGTTCGCTACATCTATTAACAAAGCTTTATTAAAATCGGTTAATGGAAAGTGGGTGAAATCAAACCTGGTTTATCCCCTAATTTGCTACCCATAGAAGTAGAATATTTTCTTAAAACTTAAATGGGACAGATAATGAAGTACCCTCTTTGCAACAAAACAAAAATCATCAAAATCGGTTCACAAATCCGGAGTTATCGCGTAACATACATAAAAAAACACAGTCGAATTGTGAACCTCCTCCTTTTTTGATGTCAGTTAAAAAAAGGGAACACCATGTTTTCTTTCGCTAGTAAATATTTTAGCATTGTAAGTTTAGAACTTGAGAATATAATTACATAGTAAACTGGTTACTTATTCACTATATTCAATCTTTATTTGCTTGCTACATGACACAGATCTTACAAAATATATTGTACCCTTACATATAATACCCTGCTGTTAAACTAATCAAAACTAATTTTTATATGAAATCAGAGAATGGTTAGATAATAATTACTAAATAAGTAATACCCGAGAACCAAGCAAAGGGCATTTATCTTTTATGCTCTAATTTATAAAATTCTTCGGTAAACAGCTGTATTTTAGATTTATAAATTTTCTTAATTTCATTTGTTTTATTATAAATTTGACTTGCTTCAAAAAATAAGGCGGTAGGTAAATAATGCACCTTTATTTGATTACGAGCTATCTATGTACCTACTCCATAGTCCTCTGTAACTGTGTTAAAGACCCATTTGACATGTTTATTTTATACATTATCATCATCGAAAGCCCGATTTCACCCACTACTGATCATAGCCCCCCCGCTGTTAGTTTCATTCCCCACGACCTAAACCAGTCTCACCCAGATATAGCTCGCGAATTTGAGGATGTACTACGTTTCTATAGTCTCATCTTGGCCACCATTAATTTTATTATTTACTTGTATTTTCTTTTTTAAAGAGTATTATAGACTTATTTGATTAATATTTCCAAATTCTTCTTCTTTTATCTTTTATGATATTATCATAAAAGATAAAATGATATTACCACTAGTTCACAGATGACTTTTTAACTTTAATTTCAGATAATGTTCGTATATAACGAGACTGTGATCGTGTATTAAACAATACTAAAGTTACATTTTTACGTAATAACTTAATTTTATACGCCAATGTAATCAACCGTTCATTTGTAAGATTTACGCAATAATATTTCAAAACGAAAAACAAAGAAAGAACGTAATCAGGACATGATTAATAAGGAAACAAGAAATGTTATACGAAAACAAATATTGCTTGGAAAAGAATTAAAGGGGCTTTCAACATTGTTTATTTAACAAAAAGGAACTTTGTAAACTTACCAAAATTAGTATAAAAGAAATCTAATATCGAATACCTGTTACCTCTGCTAAGAAACATATTTACGACAACGCCGGCGAAGGAATTGCGTCATAAACCGCTCTATTATATAACCTCAGTTACTTTGTTTACGGGTGGCGGAGACAAATATAGGCATAGTAAATAGTAGCCCTTATGTAGTATTTGTAGTAAAGTGCGGTTATGCAACTTTGATCCCTGGCAATGCGAGGTGAGCCAAATGGAACCTAGTTAGCTAGTTCCCGGGGCGGGATCGATGCGACGGGGTGTATCTGGTTTTTTCGGACACTATACCAACGGGAGGGGTGAACGAACCGTGTTATGTAAGCCGGTCGATAGCGGCGGGCATGCGCAACCCCTAGCCCGGCCACCCTCAATACAGCTCGCGCGCGCTACCCCTTCGGACGTGCCGTGTTTTATTTTACCGCGTTTTTCGTTTCCCTTTCGTTCTTTCCGTTTATGATTTAACGCCACCATGTCTAAAGGCGACGGTGAACAACAGAACGGCTCCGGTGAGGAGTCCAAGACCAACCTGATCATCAACTACCTGCCCCAAAGCATGACGCAGGAGGAGATCCGCAGCCTCTTCTCCAGCATCGGGGAAGTGGAGTCGTGTAAGCTGATTCGCAACAAAGGCGCCGCCTTCCCGGATGCACTCAATCATGCTCTTCACGGCGGCGGACAGAGCCTCGGCTACGCCTTCGTCAACTACCACCGCGCTGAAGACGCAGAGAAGGCAATTTCCACTCTGAACGGGCTCCGGCTTCAGAACAAAACCATCAAAGTCTCATATGCGAGACCCAGCAGTGAAGCCATTAAAGGTGCAAATCTATACGTGTCAGGATTGCCAAAAACGATGACACAAACCGAGCTCGAGAGGCTCTTCAGCCCTTTCGGGCGTATAATCACCTCCAGAATCCTGTGTGAGAACTCTGGCGGCAGACCGTTCACCGGTGGCGAACAAGGGTTGTCTAAAGGAGTTGGATTCATTCGGTTCGACCAACGCGTGGAAGCGGAGCGGGCGATTCAAGAGTTAAACGGGACAGTGCCGAAAGGAGCTTCGGAGCCGATCACAGTGAAGTTCGCGAACAATCCGAGCAACAACGGGAAGGCCCTGGCTCCGCTGGCGGCGTACCTGCCGGCGGCGCTGCGATTCCCCGCCCCGCTGGGCAGATTCAGTTCAGGCAAGTCCCTCCTAGCTATCAATAAGGGCCTGCAGCGCTACAGCCCGCTGGCCGGCGAACTGTTGGGTGGCGTGCTGCCCGGTGCTGTCGGCTCGGAATGGTGCATTTTTGTTTACAACCTCGCGCCCGAGACAGAGGAGAACGTCCTGTGGCAACTCTTCGGGCCATTCGGCGCCGTCCAAAGCGTAAAGGTGATACGCGACCTCCAGACCAACAAGTGCAAAGGGTACGGCTTCATAACGATGACCAACTACGACGAGGCAGTCGTGGCCATCCAGTCACTGAACGGCTACACCCTTGGCAACCGAGTGCTGCAGGTCAGCTTCAAGACTAACAAGATAAAGACCATTTAAGTGGATCGTCCCGGACTCGGCCTAGCTGGACGCTAGGACGGCACAGCAGGCGCGCACCCATACATATTCACACTTACAATACACCCGCGGCTCGTGCGGCCGCCGGATCGCAACCAAAAATGTTCGTACGCTTTTGGCTGCGCTTCTCAAGGACCTGACATGATAGACTGTGTCTTCCCGACATTAGAGGGCTCGCCGGCCGCTAGTGGCGCGGCGAGCGAGTTTTGTACATTAAAGTTTTACTAGCGAATGTTTTTGACTCGCTCTTTTGTGCGGGCCTTTGTTCGGCGTCGGCCCTTTCCTCGACATATACATAACGTATAGCGCACTCGAATTGGGTTAAGTGTTTCAGGAAATCAAAATGGCGGAATTTAACACCCGGGCGGAATGGTTGTGCGCATGTTCGGATAAAATGGCCGCCGCTGAATGAACGGCGACCGTGAGCAAGCAATAATAAATTTAGATCGACGGCATGTAATGCTATCTCTGGCCAGACTTTGAACCATACATATTGGTAATAGTCAATAACAAAATAATGATATTAAACTTCGCTTATGAACGGTTGTGGTTATCGAGAAATAGTTTAAATAATAATTAGCAATAATAGCCTAATGCTATGCTCCAATTTTATATGCGATCATATCGTAAGTACCGTAAGGTTTAAACTCGCGGTTAGGCCGGCACTGGAAGCTGATCAATATTGCCAAACGTATCGGATCGTCTCTGTCGCTCACATGTACCTTTTTACTATACATAATGTACACTCAAGTAGCACCTATCTCGCCGACATGCATCGAAACGCGAAGTCGGACCGGCCACCGGCCACCCGCCACCCACCGCTCTCGATCTCAACGAGATTTCGAGTAGGGCCGTCACAGAAGGCACTTAATCGAAGTAAAATAGTGTTATATTGTTAAAGATTGGAAAAATATATATTATCTATACTTATATTTTAATCATATATTAATCTAATTAAGGATGAAAACTAATCAAAAACTGTGATAGGTTTTGATAAAATTTTAAAAAAAACGATGTAAAAGATCTTGGATGCGAAGGAAAGATCTAAAAAGTCTTATGACAGTTGTCATTACCGCGTGGCGCGATTGCTCCATAGGTTAGATTTTTTGAGATTTTTGCTACTAGAATTCGGGATTTGGGATTACGCTTACACGCCGCGGTGCGGGAACCACGGATTTGACATACGAACAGCTATACATCGCACTGGGAGGAGAATGGGGAAAATCGATGGAGCTGTTCTGGGCCCGGGAGGGTGTCGGTTAGAGAAGGAAAGGGGGGAACATCCCTCCCCTCCTGCACGCCGCCACCCAGCCCCGCGCCTCCACTGATGAGCGTCGCCGGGCAACAGGAACGAGAGTCCGTACGCGGAACAATGGTGCATACCCTAGTCTAAAGATATCGTTTTGAAAAAAATCGATGTCTATAAACATATGATCGGTACCTGCTATAATAATAATGTATGGATGCGAACCTGCGTCTATTCGAAGTAGGCTTTAGTTGTCTTAGTTTAAATGGAAATTTGTAAATAGAAAAAAAAGTTGTTTAAAAAAAATTAATTCTCGCCGCGTCTAAACACACGCCACACAAATCACAATCATTACTTAATAACCCGAAAAAGACCTATATGAACATCGAACTTGAATAGATATAATATCGTGCCGTCCTAACGACCCTACGATTTTTGTAAAAAAATATATACTTAATATAAATGTAAAAAACAGTTTTGTAACATTTCAGATATTAACTAATAGGTACTCATTACATACCAAAGATGGAGATAAAAATTTACAAGTATTTATATATTTATTATTAAATGTAAAACGTGCAATAACTAATAGCCAGTAATTTATTAAAATATATTAAAAGAAATGACTCGAAGAGAAGTTGGTAGACATAATGTCACGGATGTGAAGTAGTTGGAGCCACGTTTGTTTACTATTTATTGTAAACTTTGTTTATCCGCAATCTCGACTTACTTTAAACGCTAAAAAATCTTTAAAATAAATTCTTTCGCTTTATTTCATATAGCTTAGTGCTTAACATTCCAATTTAGTCTTAATATGTTTTATTATTAGGTGTATTTTGTATTTAATTTAGACAAATTCGTGAGTTATCTTTCGCTTTCTAAACGTCACTTTCATGTAGCAATGGTGTTTACAAATGTTTAATTACGTTTCGTAGGAGAGCTGTCCATTGTCAATTCGCCTGAAACTCAAAAAGACAGTTCCTAGAAACGAAATTTGTTCGACGGCATAATTTAATTTGTAACACCAACTCTATAGAAGTGAGGTGTAGAAACGCATTATCTTTGGTTTAATTTTAACAAAATCGGATCGTACGGTTGGAAAATTAGGTATGAGTGGTCGGCGTGAGAAGCACAAGTTTTGCTAACCCTACTTATAACTATATACTATGTAGTACGTCTATTAGGTTAAAAATAGTTGTTGTGTTTTGTGTTATTTTAGTTCAGCGTGAAAATGCAATTAAAAAATACAATGATATTTTGAATAATTGCAAATTATTAATTAAAATGTTAATTATTAACTGCGCAGAGGTCGAACTAAATTTTATTTAAAAAAAGACAATCAAACCTCTCTTTTGTGCGCTTAAAGAGTGGCAAAGAGAGGCGTAGAGTATTTTTTCATAAAATTAAGGTCGATTATCAATAATTTTCATGCATTATCTGTTCATAGATTACTCATTAATTTAGTGTATGTGCAATGGATTGTATTTTATGTGTATGTATATCTATATCTAGGTGTGCATTTAACTTATTTATAAAACTTATATTTTGTATTTTAAAATTAATTCGGAATTCTATAAGGTAACCTAAATTGATTTATTTATTAGGGAAATGATCGGGCGATTAATCTTAACTTTTTATGAATCGTATTTGCGATTTATTTGTCTTCAATCGGTGAAATAGGAAACATCGAATAAGAAAAAGTGGACGCGGGCAAATTGAAAGTATAACGCCTAACCTCTTTTGACAGCTTTGAAAAACACTTTTCGACGGCTAGAAGCGTCTTTGATGGAAACCATCTGACTAAAAAATTCAAATTCGAATTCTTTATTCGAAATCAAATTGCCAGCTGATGTTGACCGAATGTGTTTTTCATACTTTCGATGTTTCTTGTTTCCGGATAATTGACTTTAATTTATGGTTTCGATTCCGTTGATTATAAAGTTGATTTTCGCGTTTTTGTGAACGACCTCGTCGTTTGAATCGAAACATAAAACACCAAAGTATTTAACTGAGAACTCATCGACTTTTTAGATAATAAATTAATGAAAAAAAGTATTGGAAAATATTTTGGAATGACGTTCGTTAGAACTTCGGTTAGGTAATGTAAAGTCACTTTATGCGGACATTATTAGTAGAACCTTTTGTATTTTCCCCTCTTCTTTCGGTAATAATTATTAAATATAATGAAATAAATAATAATAATAGTGCTCAATAGTTTAGAAGGTCGTCCGACCGATAGTACGATTATAGAACCGAAGAAGCAATAATGAAATATATCGTGAAATTTTTAACCCTTGAATCAAGTATGCCGCAACATAATTAACTTAATATTTTTATATGTATTTTAAAAATATACTGTAATTCATATCTTCATAGTTGTAAGTGGAAGAATTGCAAAACGTTCTACTAATACAAGTCAAGTTTTTAAACGTTATTGATTCACTGATATTGAACTTTTCAATCACGACTTTCAGACTATAAAAAGTGCTAGAGTTCCTGATACGTGCGATAAATGCAATGTGTTCCAATTTTGAAGTTTAGACATTCGAAACTGCAGATTCTAAATCTCTGGGTTGCCAACTATGATAAATCCCAGCTATTCGTCTGAAGCTCGTGAATGAAAAATTGTGAATTGGCAGCTTTTGAAAAGTCTTGAGCAATAATATCTATAATATCTATGGCCAATAGTGTTATGGATAGATACTTAACCCCAGTAAGTGACAAGGGATAATCAGACCTATTATCAATAACATAACGGCTACTTTTTGAACGGTGTTTTGATGCATTTTTTATGAAATTAAAAATAATGTTAAAAAAATAAAAAGTAATTAATTGGCAACACAGAAACAATACTCTAAATACGCATAGGCTAATTGACATTGAGGCTGTGAAATTAGCAAAAATAAAAATAAATAAAAAACAAGTGGCGATTGATCTTAATTAATGGAAGATTAAAATAAGTGGAGTCACATGACAAAGAAACGAAAATGATAGGAATTATGAATATGTGCCTCGTAGGTCTATAACGGACACAAGTGGCGCGTGCGCATCGGACACGAGCGGCGATGGCTTGTGTTTCGGCGATTCGATAAAAGACACAAATCGACGCGTTCACTGTTTACGATCACTGTGGCCCGCATCGAATTGTGCAATCCCTAGTTATAGTAAGGACTTTGAAAAGCAATAATTTTTATAGCGTTTAAAACTCAACTTCTATCTGTTTCTTTGTCCTGTGACGGAGGCACTCACGCGTACAAAAAATGGTTAATGGCCCATTATAATAAGTAAATCAATTGACATTTCCGACGACATTGCGTGAACGATGACTGTCCAAAATTTCGGTGATACATAGGATTCTACTGGACCTTGGGAAAAGGCTTTTCTAAGCGTAAGCAGCTTCGTGGTGATAGGAATAGCCTTAGACTCGGTCGCGGCACAAAAGAATGGCGGCCGAGGCGTATGCGATTCCGATAGTTAAGACACAAAATGAAGAAATGAAATCTTCCATAGAAAATAAATACGTAAGGTTAAAAATTCTACACGTAAAAATATTTCAATGACTACTCATAGTGTCTATTCTGTGTTACGATATTTGATGCGCTAGTCTAGTCAAATGCTCAATATTATATCGCATACAGTGTTGTGACACAGCAACAAGAAGCAATAAATTTTCACTTTACATTTACATCATAGAATTAACGCGTAACGTCATAGGTAATTGTCGGGGACTATTGAAATATTTTTCACGCAGTAGAAAACTCGAGACATCGACTAAATGTGTTACTATTACTTCATACGTCAACATTTCTTAAAAAAAATTAAATTTTTAATAAAAACCAAAATGCACAACACCAACGTTTCAATGCTACGGCTATATTCTTGTAAAATTATTATTACTACATTTGCTCATGGCGTACTTCCCTGTCTTTTGGATCCATTTCTCTAGCGTAGCTTTTAGATCGTATATTCATTGATAATTTTATAAAATATAGCCGATTTAATGGCGCATTACGCTTCCCTTTACGCATGATCATCGTCACTATCGGAGAAAGAGCTGGTGACATTTTAATTCTATGAAAGATATAGCAATGAAGTGAGGCATTCCAGTATATTATATAAGTTGGAAATAAAGGTCATTAGAATCAATGCTTAGCCAGCCTTTTCTCCCCCCAAAATGCATCATTATAGACAGTGAAAAATCCGTAGTATGACCTCGAGACCCCAATTTCCTTTACTTAGACTTCTTTTTAAATAGTCAAAAATATACATTATTTAAAATTAGCTTACCAACGTCGGGTAAATAACAGGACGCAATAAATATTGTAAATAAACTTTGAAATCGACATCGGGGCAACAACGAGTGCGCGAATTATGAAAAAGAATTAAACCATAGTTTCGAATTTAAAAATTAATATCATGTAATATCAATTTCACTGTCTATCTTTAAGTATTCGTTTTCGGTGTTGATTCCTCTATTAACTGCATTTGCACTACAGTTCGTTCCCATTTCGTGTGAACCTCGTGTCTTTACATCATTGGTCTTTACATCAATTTCAACGCGTCTGAGAACGAACATGTCGTTCGATCGTTCAGAGACTGAATTTGTCGACGCGCGTCTTGAAGAGGCACAAGGCAGAAATCTATCATTTCAAATGACAGTGACGTAGTGGGAGCAAACTCAGCATCGTGCAGAGTAGCATGTGATAATCCTAGCATAAACCGTAGCAATATTCATTCGTATATACCCAAGTCGTGGTAAAGAA